ACATAAATCTGTAACTCAGTTTGGTCATAAATGAAATAAGTTGCTGAACAGCACCAGCTGGATCTGATGAAATCAGTGTGTACAGCTGGGAATTATCCTCCTACTGGAGGTACCACAATTCTCATATCATCACGGATTTCCTGTGTGGCCTCATACAGGCATTATACTGGCCAGATAACAGAACAAAACACAGAAGAGCTCCAGCTGAAAAGCCATCCATGGCAGATTACTAATTATCTAACAGGCAGGTGAGCAATCATCTTGTTTGTTGTACATGGGATGCTACACTCAGTGTCAACCTGGTTTACAGAATCGCCTGAGAGAAGTCCTGAGGGCAAAGGAATCCAGGATGGTTGGACATTCTTCAGGGAGGAACTCTTACAGGCATAGGAGCAGGCCATTCCCATGTGCCAAAAGGTGAGCCAGAAGGGAAATCTGGACTGATAGAACATAGAGCTTTGGTTGGAACTTAGGGTAAAAAAATAGGGTGTATCACCTTTGAAAGAAGGAGCAGGCAGCTTTGAAAGACTACAGGGGTGTCACAGGGTTATGAAACGACACAATTAGAAAGCCAAAGCCCAGTTAGAACTTAATCTAGCTACTGACATAAAGGAAAATAAAACATTTTTCTATAAACAAAAGGAAGGCTGAGGAGAATCTCATAGAATCTCACAGAATGGGTAAAGCTGGAAGGAACCACAGGGCACCATCTTTTGCTCAAGAAAGGTAATCCTAGAGCACTTTGCACAGGACTGCATCCAGACGGGTCCTGAATATCTCCAGGGAAGAAGACTCCACAACCTCTGTGGGCAATCTGTTCCAGTGGTAGTCACCAACACAGTGAAGAAGCTCTTCCTCATGTTTTCCATCCTTTACTGGATGCAGGGGAAATGTAGTGAGAAAGGATAAGGAAAAGCCTGAGGTACTAAACAATTTCTTTGCCTCAGTCTGCAATAGTAAACCCAGTAGTTCTCTTGGTATCCAGCCTCCTGAGCTAGAACACGTGGACCAGAAGCAGAATGAAACCCTCATAATCCAAAGGGAAACAGCAATCTGCTACACCAAACAGACACATACAAGTCTATCGGGCCAGATGGGATCCACACAAGGATACTGAGGGAGCTGGCAGAGATACTCATCAAGCCACTTGCAATCATTTCAATTATTTGTCATTCATGTATTACAGGTGCTCTGGAGTTCCAGTACAGTCTGGATCACTCTGTGACAGATAGTAGGGCTGTGTCTCCACTCCCAGGACAGTCAATCCCAAGTGTACTGGATGCCCTGTGAACAGCATCCTACGCTCTGCTGACAAAGGACTGAGGAAAACATACTAGCAATCTCAATGGTGATATGCTCATTGGCTGCCTTTGGCTCCAGCTTGTGTTGAAGTTCCAGCATGTCCAGTGTGGCAGCATTGAGTGTTGACATGACTTCATTCAGGCAACAATAGTCCATTGTTTGTCTCCTTTCTCCGTTAGACTTTCACACTGTCCATATGGGACTGGTAAAGGGTGAGTCCCGCTGATCGCTCCTTGGCTCTCCAATTGATGAATCAGCTCATGGATGGGAATCAGGGAGTCTCAGTGTGATAATGCTGCCAATACACTGCAGTGGTAGGAATCAGCAGCTGCTGCTCTTCAGCCTTCAGCAATGTAACAACAGAAGGGACCTCTAAGACACCTGGCAAGGTAGACAGCTGCCTAATTTCCTCCTTCTCCAAGGCAGCTATACTGAAAGCTCTCCAATACTCTTCTAGGTCTTTGAAATACCCTCTCCTGACATCTCTACATGGCAGATGCATGGAGCCTCTGGGCCAGTCGCAGAGGGGGATTTTTGCCATTCATTCACAGTTAGACTTAATTCAACCTTCAAAACAGACAGATCCTGTGATTTCCCATTACTCCAGAAACATAGGTGGATTCTGCCTCTGTGATCTGATGGCATTAGTGTACACTGTGCGCTGGTATTTACAAGAGCCTTACAGTCCTGTGGATCTGATGTAACAGGCCGTTGGGATCCACATAATTCAGCAAACCAGACTGTCCCCTTCTTTTGCCTGTTTGCAGGCAGGGCCCCTCTAGTCCTGGTGACAGACATTTCCATTGACTTGTAAAATCAGGATTAAGTTCCATAGGATCAGAAGTAGGACCAATCCTTCCACTCTGACTGGGGAACTGCCCACTGAAGACTGGAGCAGTAATGTTTCTGGAAGAAACCCCATTTGTGATTGCTTTTCTTTGCAACCCATGCACCCATGTCTCTAGAGTCAAGGTAGATTTTCCATCCTATTTCCTCATGTCTTCTTTGTGGTCCCTCAGGTAAAACCACAGGGTGTCTTGTGGTGTACACCCTCTACACCCACCCTCTTGAGCAAAAGAACGCTCACTGCAATAGCTGAGATACTGGTCTGTACAGGTGAGGAGTAGGACCTATCCCCTCTTTGTTGCTGAAACTCCTAGAACAGCTTTTCCCAGTTTTGGACAGGTTTTCTACAGCCAAAATACAGGTTCATAGGGAGGAACAGAGATTTTCTTCTTATTGCTGGAGTTGGTGACCCACTAAATCCATCCTCTTTGTCTTTCCAGATAATTAGTGCCAATGAGCTGCCATACACAGATGGTGCATTCTGTACAAATTTATGCCATATGTACATTAGATTTCATCTTGATCTGTGGGTGACTCTGTATTGTTTGGGTCAGCATAAATCATCTCTAGCATGGCTAATTTCTGAAGGTACTGGACCCATGTCTTCATGGTAGTCCATTTGTCTTTCTTGAAGGGATTCCTTTCCTTCATGCATGACATCTCCACCAAAGGCTGAGGACTTGTGTTCCCCTTTCCATTTGCCTTATCAATACTCCCTTTATCTACAAAGTGATCCCAGCTGCTTGGCTTCCTTACCCTCTAAGTCCCAGATACTAGATCCATTATCCCAGCACAGGAGCAGCCAAGTGACAAATGTGCTCATCTGCGTGATGGCTGAAATATTTTTACACATCCTGCAGACCATCAAAGATAGGGATCAGGGGGTCACCTCTTCTGCTTCTTCCTCCTTGTTCTTTTGGTAACCCTGCTTTGTCCTTCACTAAGTGACCTTTCACATCCATTTCTTCTTGTCTACAGGAGCATCTGACACCAGCACAGGTTGGTTCTCAAGTTCAGTTGCAGTGCCTGTCAAGGGAGATGGATTAACTGTGGTATCTGTCCCCAGGGTTGGGGCAACCACAGTGCCTGTTGTTTTGTTCTCTCATCCAGAGACTATTTCTTCCCTGCAGAGTATTGAATAGTGATGAACTTAGTAGGTAAAAAAGTTATCATTATTAATAGTTTCCAATAGACGGCTCCCAAAGTACAATGGTGACAGTGGTCACAGTGGTGACAGCAATGCTGAATACAAATACTAGATTTGTTTCATGACCAGCAATTCTGTCATATCATAAGCCAGTGTTACAAAGTACAGCAGCGTGATAACTTTATTTCCCATGGGTGAGATACTGCAAGTAAGGTATGATATAGCACAACTAAAAGAACAAGCATGCCAACTTTGAGAGCAAATAAATCAACATTGTGACCAGTGACTGATATAACAAATGATTATAACAAAATTGATCTAACACATTCTAATAAGATTTGTCATTGTCTCAAAACATGGAGACATGTCATTGGCTCCCAGCATGGAGCTCCATCATGCTCCATGTTGGGAGCCAAAAAGAACTGCAAAGGACCACAGCATCTCTCACCACTCCCCAGCCCACCATTGGTGGTATGAGGAGGCGAATCAGGAAAAAAAATGGTAAAACCCATGTGTTGAGATATGTACAGTTTAATTTAAGTAAAATAAAATTAAAATAACAATATAATTTTAATGCAAAAAGGGAGGCAAAAATGAACCAGACAGAAGTAAAACCTAAAAGAACAGAGTGATGCACAATACAATTGCTCACCACCTGCTACCCAATGCCTGTCCCGTCCCCAAACAAAGATCAAGCCCTTCCAGCCAAATCCTCCCAGTTTTTGTACAAGACATGATGTTCTCAGATATGGGATATTCCTTTGGCCAATTTAGCTCAGATGTCCTGCTCATGTTCCCTCAGAGCTTTTTGTGCCACTCCTCACTGGCAGAGTATGACAAACTCAAAAGTCCTTTACTTAGGGTAAGCACTACTGGGCAACAAACAAAACATCAGGGTGCTATCTACACGATTCTCCTACTAAATCAAAATCACAGCACTTTACCAGATATAAGGAAAATAATTAACTCTATCCCAACAAAAATGAGGACAATGTGGCACTTAAGGACATGACTGTGCATTGCACCTGCTTTTCTCTGTGTCAGTCTCCCCCATACAGAACCCACCTCTAATTCCTTCTTCTCCATTGGTCCCAGTTTTGACAAATCTACATTCACATCTGGTATGGCTGGCACCATTACCCAAGTGACCTCAAACTTCTGTGGTGGTGGTATTCTTGATGTGCTTATGCAGGTGCTCTTCATGGTGTATGATCCTGCTACACAACAGATGACCTTTACAAAATATTCCACTTCAAATACCTGTGAAGTTTGGCTGTCCCTCACACAATATGTCCTTCATAATGACATTTGAGATCTAGCCAACTTTCACTGTTTGATCTGTAGCTTTCATCAGCTGCTTATGTTATGCTCAGCAACGTCTCATTACATTGTCTATATTTCCACCTCCCCTCAGTCAGCCTAATCTCCATCCAGGCCCTAGTCAAGAGCCTGATCATTTGCCTGCAGCCTTAAATCCATCTTTTTATCAAGTTAATCACCAAAAATTTAAAATCACCACTATAATACGCACATCACTGTTACAGCCAATCCCTGTGGTATCCTTCCTACCATGAACAGCTTGAACACTTCTTATTGACACTTCCTTCTTGAAATGTTGATTAGCCAGTTTCTACATCAGTACTGTGTGTGCGTTTTACAGACCTCCAGCAGAAATTGAATCAGACAACACAAAGAAACCCAAAAGTGCAATGGTTCTTATTGTTTTATTGATTGGATATGACCATCAATATAGAAAAAAGGTTTACTTTCCAAGTCCAGTCACAAAGCATGCATCCATTCTCTAAATTAATAAATACCATGGGATAAGATCCACTGATACGCAGAAACAATAAAAAAAAATTACACATAAATCTCAAAGTAGTCAGTAGTGACAAACACTAGTATGTCATGAAAGCATAACATGTAGGAGGACTGAGAATACTAGACATCTGGTGATTATTTTTGCTGCTCAAAATCTTAGTAGCTGTTTCTTACTGCTTTCAGAACTTCTCAATTGCTGGGGTGACTCTAGAATGTTTGTGTGCTTCTTCTCATGGACATCCATAGGGTGTAGCAATGTATTGGGAGTCAGGAATAGTCCAGATGCTCTCAGTAAATGCTGTCCATGAAATACTCAACAGTTTTCTCCAAATGCACTTTCCACCAAATTAGCTACACCGAATGTCTGTTGCAACTGAAGACCTACCATTTTTTTTCCTTCACAGGCTTCAGACATTAAACCTCAAGTACCAAATTGAGAGGATGGGCTAGTGGCTGCCAAATTTTCAAGAGGAAGAAGTCCTCTCTCTTATATCTATAAGAGAAAACACCATAATGTGGCATAAAGATTTTACCAACATTTGAAAAATCCTTCATAACTAACCTGTACATTTGCTACATTTAGATTTACAATACCATTAACCAAAATGATATAAAATCCTACCATAAAATGAGGCATTTAAAAGAGTCAAACAAGATTCCCCTGATATTGACTCATTACAAAAGACTGACCTCTTTCTCCTTTTGGTTGTTACCCAGTCTAGTACTTGTTTTTGCAATTCACAATTCACTTCTGTCATTCAAAGTGGAATTACCTTTAGGTGGAGACTTCATATACTTCTTAAATTCCCTATGTATCTATGACTTTATATTAAATAAAATGAGAAGCATAAACATTTATAAGCAAATAAAGAATGGTTCTACCAACCATCCGAAACCCATGCATATTTCATGTTTTGCTGAAGAATACTAAATGGAGGTTCATTTATTTTTTTTCTATGAGTATCACAACCTTTCTTTCACTGACTCTTTTTCTCTTGTTTGTTTGGGTTTTCACTCCCCTCCAAGATCTACCCCATTTTCTTTCTCCTATTTATTTTGGTTTTGCCAGGAATCTATATGGTATCAAGATTTCTTTTCACAGCTACAGAAATCAAATGACTGCTCCTTATGGCATTTTTCACTTACTAGAACAATACCACTTTCCTCTCCTTTAACACCCATCAAAACTCCTGCTAATAAAAGAATCTCAAGTGAAGCCAAACGCAGAGCAGATTCAGGCAACTTTTGCTATTTCTTTAAATTTTCACTAGATTTGGATTCTGGTGGAATTCAAGATCACCAACACAACAAACCTACCAAAAATATGGAAGGACGAGTAACACAGTGGTGAAAAATATCATTTCACTTAGCCTTAGCTGAGAATTAGAATTGCTCTTATTTAGTAGAGAAACATAGGGACATCCATGGGGATCATCCATTACATTCTAAAAAAGGTGTTTGGACAAAATTTCCTTATTGAAATCTTCTTGTTGAGTGTAGTGTGAGCCTGTGTCACTAGATGAGCTGAGAGGAGATATTTAAAACATAGATGAATAAAGAAGAATGAGATAAATTTAAATGAAAGGCCAGAGGCCAGTGTAGGTATCTTATTATTAGGAATCATGTGTGATGACTATGGCAAGCAAATGATTAGCAACTTACCAAATTAATAAGGAATAAACACACATCTGATTTTTATAATGTGCCATCAATCTTAAAAAAGACTATAATAAGCATAATACTGAATACATTTATAAGCATCAGAAGAACCATACAGCTGCAAAGAACACAATTTACTGTCTACACCCAGAATACAAACCGAGAGGCCGAACTGTCCTGCTTGGTGCGTTGGCATTACTACAGTCCAAGACGGGCCAGCTCAGAGAAGGAGCTGCTTTTAGCAGCCTTAGGCAACTGCAGTTACGGGATGAGCTTACGAGCGATCCCTCGCAGGAAAAGGCAGAGGGGAGACGTCATGCTAAGGACATACAGCCCGGCTATTCCGTTACAACCAAGTGAAGCTTCAAACCATAGCTGGCTATGGCCAAACGAGGAAAGCATTTTCAGATACAAATTTTAAGTAAGTCGGCGCTCCCCGTCCGCAGCCAGGCAGCCCCGCGGCCGCCCCAGTGCGCCTGCGCGCCCGCCCCTCCGCTCGGCCCCACAAGGCGCTGGCAGCCGCGGCCGCCGCGCACGACGCAGCCGCCGGCCAATGGGCGGGCGGGCGGGCCGCCCGTGTTTCCCTCCTGCGGCCAATCAGCGCTCGCTTCCTCCCGCCTTCCGGCCAATGGGAGGCGCGCTCTTGGGGCGTCGGTCACATTCAAACCGGGGCAGCGCGCGAGTGCGCTCGGTCGCAGCCGCGTCCCGGCCCCGCGGCGGCGGCGGTGAGGGGCAGGGCGGGGGCAGGGCGGCCGGGAGGGACAGCGAGGGTGACGGCACCGGGCCTGGGAGCAGCGAAGTGAGGAAAGGTGGGTGAAGGGCTCGGGGGGCGGCAGAGGTGCTGGTCTGCGGTGAGGCCGCGGAGGAGCTGGGCCGGGCTGCTCGGCAGCCCCGGTGCTGAGGTTTCGCTGGGCTTCCGCCCCTGAGGGCCAGGAAAGCTGGTTGCGTCTTTCGCCTCACGGGCTTTGTTTATGCCACATTGCCCAACCGCCAACCCGCCGCCCAAACTCTCTTTTAGCCCACTTTTGCATCTTGGTGTCTTATCCTTTTTGTGTCTTATGTTATAATATTTTTCTATTGTATTTCTTTCTTAGTGTTGCTAATTTTTTAAAATCAACGACGGTTTTTCTTAGTGCTAGCAGTTTTTGTTTACCTTAAAAAAAAAAAAATCATGATTTAGGACTTGTAAATAAAACGGAAAGAAGATTTTTATAGATAGTATTTTTCAAAGGCTGGGCGGATGCTTCAGAAACATGTTATTTCACCTCTCCTCTATAAAAGACATAAACAGAACAAATAGTGTAATACAATAAATACAGTATTTCAAGACTGGATGCTGTTGCTTCTTTTTATTATCAGTGAGTATTTCTGAGTGTGCTAGATGTGGAATTTTACCACCAACCTGTAGTGCCATTTTATCCATTTACTGCTCTCAAGTCTCTGTCCTTTGGCTCCTTGTGTAGTGGGTCTACATGAGGGGTTGAAATAACTTTAACTACTACACTTTATTTAGAGGTAGTTCTTCCTGATCTTTGCATTACGTGTTCTCCCTCTTCCCTCGTTCTCCGGACCCCTCTCTCCTGCAGGCATTTCTGCATCACAGGTATGCTGCAGTGGAGCTATTGCAGTTACTACCTCAGTTCCTATTCAGTGCCTTTGTAACAGCATGTGGCTGGTTTAGGTCTTTGCTGTTGTCAGATCTTAAGTAAATATATGTATATATACACCAGGGAAATTAATGGCAAATGATTTCTTTAGGAGTAATTATGCAGCAAATTAAGAGCAAATAAACCTCTGAATACTTGCTTATGGTTGAACACTGGCATGTACTTTTTATTATCTGAATGCAAGCTGACACTTTTGAAAGGGCTTTTCCTCATTCAAAATGTTGTCTTTAAGCCTTTTCTGTTCTGATTTTATTATTAACTAGGAATAGTTTAATTGATTTTGATGCAAACTGTATTTCTGGGATATGAAGATTAGGCAAGCTTACACGATAAGCTTTCAATGGTTAACCCATTAATTTTTGATACACAGGAACTTCTTCAGGATGGAGAACTTCCCTTCTTGCCTTTGGGTTCTTGGGATCATCTGAGGGCCTCATCCATCTTACCTTTTTGACAAGGCAGATTCATTCTTTAGGAGAGTTTTTCTCCATAACACGTTGAACCTAGAGCAGTTAAACAGCACACCAGAAATGTAAGTTTGATGTTTGTTGTTACATCTTAAGATCAAATTTATACAGAAATTTGTTTTTCTTCTTGTCTACTGCATTTGGGAAGCTGTCACTGCAGGAAGAATAGTGAACTTTTGACATTAGTGAGGAAAATATAAAGACTATGTTTAAGAAATCCAAAATCCACCTGGGAATTTTTAGCAGTTATGGTTGTAGTGAGATATTCTGGTATTTCTTAACATGAGGTAAACTTCTTTTTGTTGTCTTGGTGCTTCAGGTTCTAGAGAAGCTGATTTCATCCATACTTTGAGGGAGTGGGTGCAGTTGAAAATCACATCTCTGTGGATAATCTCACCCGCAGAGGTGATTTGGACTATCTGATTTCCTGTAGCCCCTTCCACAGTATTTTTAAAGGGCAAACCTGCAATGTGTACTAAAATTTTCCATATGGCGTAAATAAGTATCATCTGTACAATGGCATATGAACAGTATTTGCTGTAGCAATCACATCTGTAATTTTTAGCAGTGTGATCCCCAAAAGATGGGACAGTTTACAGACCTGCTCTCAGAGCAGCCTAAATTGGCCCTGGGGGAGAAATTGAAATTAAAATCTATACAGTGTACATTTTTGAATATAAATAAGAGAGGGGGGGGTTCCTTTATTTTTTCTGTTCAGTGAAACAAAAATAGTATTTCAGATACTACTGATGTAGCATACAGTCTTTAGCTTTCATAGGATTTTGGGTTTTTTTCATCATAGGTCTTGCTTGAGGCTATTTGAGTGTCTCTCCAGACCCTTAGGTGCTAAAGCCTCTTCATAGTCGTAATGTAGATGGTGCTTTTGCTGAAGTCTTGGAATTGACATAGTGAAACTGTGTTTTGAACCTACAAAACAACATTTCTATATAGACAAGAGCAGTCTTGGTATTCTTGGTGGGCCATATCTAGTTCAGGTTGATCAAGAAATATACCTACTTCTGCTTTATAAGCAAGGTCTTGTAAGCTTTCTGATTTATGGTCTTTGCCTGGGGAAAGCTGGGAGCCTGGTGTTTTTAAAGACATGCCAGCTTCTGGTGAATAATGCTCTAAAAATTATCTGTGGGACTTCCTGAGAGTGGTGCCCGGTGTATTTTTTAGATAGTGGGGTTAAAGGTAGATGAGGTTCACTCCATTCAATTCTTTCTCTAGCAATAATTCATCTAAAAGTACATCTAAAGTTTCTAGCCCTCTAGCAATTTTTTGTTGGGCTGTTAGACACCAGTACAAGAGGAACAGAAACCAACATTTCACTGTAAAACTAAACTTAGTCTTTGAGCCTTTTTAATCTGTCTGAAGTGCATTAACTTTCCCTGTTTCTGGGCCCAACTTCACAGTAATTAGGATGTCAAACCCCCTGAATATGTGCTAAATTCACCACAGTTTTTACTAGAATTCTCACGTTCATTAGATGCATGGACCATTGATGTGGGAAAAGCTGTTCATTGTAGGCAGAAAAGGAAGAAATCATTAGGGTTTTTTAGTTTATTTTAGCAGTCTTGCTCTGCTCAGATTGCCTAAATTCTTATCTCTCAGCTATATACGTGTATTATCTCAGCTGATGATAAACTGTCAGAATGTCAGATTTGGCATAAGTTTCTCATAAGAAGTATTTGAATCTCTAAACCTCCTTTCAGAAACCTAAAAAGTGGTGTCACTTGTCTTTGTCTTTTGATCAGAGGAGAATGTGAATTCTTTTCTGCTTAGCCCACTGTGAGGACTAATTGCCATAACCTGTGGCAAAGAGTAGGATTTGGGTGGATCAGTTAAGTATCAATTCTTTTTATTTGTCCAAGTTGTCTTCTGTGAAGAAGTTTACTTGTATGACTACCTTGACAAAGGCTTAATAGAGTATTTGTTACATAATGTGGTTGAGTCTCAAGCTACAAATTATGCATGAGAGGCTTTCCCAAGGTAATTCCAATCAAAGTGAGCTACAACAGGTTTCTTCAGTAACTAATTTGTTTTTTAACCTTGTGCCTGCAGATGGAGGAGACAGACCTAAGTGAAAGAGGATTGCCACAGATTACATCAATCATGAATAGAGTTAGAAACTTGAAAAACAAATACAGAAATGAAGAGAATATCACAGATGAATTTAGCTATACTAAAATCTCAGCTGATACAACAGGTATTTTGTTTTGTTATTCTACTGTCACAAGATCTTAACCTAGACTGAGTGAAAGAACCATTAACTGAAAGGATTTCAGGTTTAGTGTTTCTTCAGTATTAATGACCACAAAGTTAATTTAATCTCTCCTTATTTCTTAGCTCTGTTGCTTTAATCTTCTTTAAAAAATAGTCAGTAACTGTCTTGCACAAAAGCTTGTAAAAAGTGTTTTCTTCTGCACATGGCTGCTGCTGTTTTAAACAATCTCCTTTTTTGTTTTTCTGTCAGATAACTCCGGAACTGTCAATCAAATAATGATGACAACAAATAATCCAGAAGATTGGCTATGTTTTTTACTTAAACTAGAAAAAAAGGGTGTTCCTCAGATGGATGTTAGCCTACTCAATAGACTGATTGGTCGTTACAGTCAAGCAGTGACTGCATTACCTGCAGAAAAATATAGTCAAGATGAGAGCTATGCTCGCATCCTTGTGAGATTTGCTGAATTGAAAGCGTAAGTATAAATTTTCAATGTGACAACTCATCATTCTGTTTTTGAATTAAGATTACCTTGTGTCATTAGTGTTTTCTGCAACAAATTATCATTTTGAGTGTAGGTGGTTTCATTCTGCTTCCTTGAATGTAAGTAGCTTTGGTTAGGCAGTTTATCTATAAACATGATTTAGAGCTATTTGATTTAGCAATGTTAACACACTACTTCTTTTCTTGGTTCTCTATGTAAGGTACGAGAGGCAATAGCATTCAATCATTTTTTGAGTTGTATTTTAGTATGCTTTCTCTCTTATTAGACAAGATTATCACAGATTAAATTAGCTGCCTTAGGATAGGAACAATGTCTCAGAACATCATTCTCAAGTTCCACACTTTGAAAATTAGTTTTGGTTGTAGTCATTTATTGTTTTACTCAGTTCAAATTCGAGCAGTGTGGTTGTTCAGACGTGTTCAGATATAATTTGGGACAGGGTTATAATTAGAAATTTTTTTGTGAGGGGGTTCTTCTGTCACTTGAAATATTATAGCAAATATTTTGATGAAGAGCTGTATTTAAACAATGCAGAAACCTAACAATCAGAGCTGAGCAAGAAATTTTCCAGTGAACATAGCTAATATTTTTATTGTATTTCTT